GACCGGCTGACTTTTATCAAGTGCTGAGGAGGCCGCATCGGCAAAGCCGCCAAGTGCAGCTGCGGACTGGCTAGCCTCAAGTCGTTGCGACTGAGGCAGCGGGCCGCGCAGAACGGCGTCTTCGCAAAGCCTTGGCATCGAACCACGCGGCCAATAGGGCATGGCGCAATTTGTGCCTCTTTTTAGCTGAGGACGTCGACGCCTTGCATGAGGATGCTGGCAGCTGAGCCTGCCTGTTTTGGCCAAGGTTTCCTGAAGTGTTGCGAATTTGCTGTCAATGAACGTGCTTGCGCTCACGGTGTCAAAGGGCACACGGGCGTCCTTGAAGCTGCCAACGCCGCAGGATCTGCTGCCAAAGTCTGTGGCTCAGAGACTCTCCCAATGACTCATGACATAAATAACCCTGCTCCGAACCGAGCGGTCGCATACAAAATGAAGATTTAAGCCAATCTCAGCATCCACAAACTCAAAGTACGGGCGTGTTTCAGATTCACTCTTCCTCCTTTTTTAGGACTAAATGAAAGGCAGAGGATAGTGGCCCATGACAGCACACACACACACCATTGCGTGCACACGCAGCACACACCAACAAACAAACGAACAAACAAGCGAACAAACAAACAGACAGACAAGCAAACGAACGAACGAACAAACAAGCAAAACAACTAACAAACACACAAGCGCACCACACACACAAACACAAACACACAATGCACAAATGCACATTGCGTCCGCGACAGCGACTGCGCACTGAGCGCGCACAGATTGCACCGAGCAGGCACCGAGTGCACCCAGTACGCGCTCAGTGCACTGAGTACGCACCCGTGTGCTGGGTCGGTGCTGGGAGTTGGAGGAACTCCCACAGACGCCACACACTACAACACACACCCAAAACACACCATAACTTATCAACGCAACAACCACATCACAGAAGCACTGCAAGCAACACTGCACAAACTCAACACCCCTATACTTATGAGTAGTACCCCACTAAGCTTATCACCAGCATCTTTCACGTCTTCTTGTTTGTAAGGTTTGTGGAGTTTTAATATGAAGGTTTCCTGTAGGTAGCATCTTTGATACGATGCTATCATTGTAACTGCCGCTTGCTTCACCATTTCCAATGTTTAAGCGCTTTTGCTTCTCTTGTGTTTCTTTTGTGTCATGCACGCACACGCGCACACAGACACACACACACACACACACACACACACACACACACACACACACACACACACACACACACACACACACACACACACACACACACACACACACACACACACACACACACACACACACACGCACACACACACACACACACACACATGCGTACACACGCACACACACACACACTAACGCAAACTCACTAACGCAAACACACGCACGCGAGCCTGCGAGCAAGATCTATACTTTGCCTGGAGCAGATGCAGCCTGGAAACAGCATGCAGCTCCAGTGATCTTGCATGCCACGGACATTATGTACAATGTGCGTCGGCTTGTAGGACTTGATGACCCCACACACGAACTGCAAGTTTTGACCTTTGTTGCGCAAGTGTTGGAGCTTCACTTGAATGAGGCGTTTGCCCGTGTGCCGGTAGTTTGCCGCACAGCTGCGCCTCTTAGTTTTCGTCAGCAGTTTGCGCTGGCGTGGGGTCAGCGTTGGCACGAGCAGGCTCTGAGCTCTGAGTGCGTCTTGCGGGAAGCTTTGCAACAGGGGCATGCCAACAGCCAAGTTTTTCAAAGCTGCGCGGACACGCGTGTCTTATTTGGTGCTTGGATGGCCAGAGCGACAGACATCCATTTGCTTTTCGTTGGCCTCCTAAGTGAGCCGCGATCTTCGGGACAGGTGGCCTAGCGGAACAAGTTACTGATTCATGCGTGTTTGAGTTGCAGTGTTCTGGGATCATGTCTTGAACCAACTCTGCAGTGAGTTGTTTCGCAGTTTTCGGTCCAGGAGGCCAGACTGTCAGGGATCGCAAATTTTCAGCCCCGCCGATAACCAAGAGGAGCATCAAGCGGGCCAAGGTGCAAAACCGAGAGCATGTTTCTCTTGGCATTTGGTCCTCCACGCATGATCTACCAGAAAACACGAGACTGAGGCGCTTCCAGCAGACATGGTCGTTCAGCGACATCGGCAAGGACGAATGAGACATGCCGGAGACTGTTGCTTCAACACGGAGTGCTTCCGCCCAAGCGCGAGAAGAAGAACTGCTGGCAGTGCGACAGTGTGTTGAAGCAATGCAGTTCTTCCAGCAGTTCCACAGGGATGCCTGGCGACGATGTCCTTCGTTGTCCAGAGTGCAAGACCAAGAGCAGGCGCGCTCTGGAGTTGAGCAACCAGTCTCTCGCACACGCGCCGTTCTGGAAGTCATCAACAAGAGGCTTTGAGGCGCGCTATGATGCATTTGTCAAAGTCGCCTTCTGCGTGGGTGTCAGGATGAATGTGGACACGATGATGCACGTCATCCCCTCCAAGGATTCCCCTGTGTCAGAGCGGATGATAGACCGTTTTACCCAACAATGTCGCATGGAACTCCACCAAGGGAGCATGCTGGTGCTGAAATGCGGGCGGGCAAGTGTTTGGCAGCCACAGAGATCAAAATCCGGAGGCCCGCCGGCCCCAGAGTCCAAGAAAGAGACTGTGCGAGCTCTGAAAGCGCGTGTGAACACCAAGACCTGCTTGGGCGCAAGCGATGCAGGGAAAGGCATCGCGCCTGGGCCGCATGTGGTCAGCACGTTTGTTGCAATCACAGTTTGTTTGAAGAGTACTGCTAATCGTGGGAAAGCCCGGTCCCCAGTTTTCACGTAAGGGAACTCATGTTGGGGGATTGTTTTTTCCCACGGAGAATGCGAACCAAACCTATGATCCATTCCTGCGTTCAGTTGTGATACAGGTGGCGGCGTTTCAGTCCTTGAACATGCAGACGGCTGTGGCAAGGCACCAGCTGGATGAGCTGACGCCAGTGAAAACGTACAAAGATGCAAGCAGGAACGCGGAGCAGCGAAAAACAGTTCGCAGGTTGGCCGTGTTGAAACGACCTGCCGCGAGAAAGCAGGCGCATAACCAGACACAAGAGAATGCATGGCTGGTAATCGGAGGAGACAACTCCGCCGAGTCAGAGTTTTCCCGTGCCAAAGGCATGATCAGAAGACAATCCCTTCATGGACGTGTAGGGCCAGCCGTGCTGCACATGAGCGTTCTTGCCGGCAAGCGACAGCTTGAGAAGCCGGGGCTTGAATCCGCTTTGGCCCAATACAGATCTAAGCGGGTCAGTTGCTTGGGCCACCGGCTGCATGATATTTTGGATCCGGCCAAAGATAGAGAGTGGCTGTTTCAGAGACGCCAGGTTTGTGCTTGCAACTGCGCAAGATGAGTTTGGATGTCCTGCTGTGCGGCTTTAGGTTCCCTGGGCGCACGTTTTCTTGATTTTGTGCCGAGTATGTTTGCTAGGCAACACTCATTTTGTCAGCGATTACGCATAGCTACATGATGCTTCTGAACTAGCCTTCCGCATTGCCAACCCACAAGTGACCTGTAAAAATGAATGAGTTCCAAGTGGTAGCCAAGGGCGCGCCCGTCGTTCGCGCGTTTACGCGACGACGGCGCGTGGTTGTTGCTGCTGCTGCTGCTGCTGTTGTTGTTGCTGTTGCTGTTGCTATTGCTGTTGCTGTTGCTGTTGTGGTTGTGGTTGTGGTTGTTGTTGTTGTTGTTGTTGTTGTTCTTGTTCTTGTTCTTGTTCTTGTTCTTGTTCTTGTTCTTGTTCTTGTTCTTGTTCTTGTTCTTGTTCTTTTTGTTGTTGTTGTTGTTGTTGTTGTGGTGGTGGTGGTGGTGGTGGGGTGGTGGTGGTTGTTGTGGTTGTTGTTGTTGTGGTGGTGGTGGTTATTGTTGTTGTTGTCGTTGTCGTTGTGGTGGTTGTGGTGGTTGTTGCTGTTGCTGTTGCGGTTGCGGTTGCGGTTGCGGTTGTTGTTGTTGTTGTTGTCGTTGTCGTTGTGGTGGTTGTGGTGGTTGTTGCTGTTGCTGTTGCGGTTGCGGTTGCGGTTGCGGTTGCGGTTGTTGTTTTTTTTGTCGTCGTCGTCGTCGTCGCTGCTGCTGCTGCTGCTGCTGCTGTTGTTGTTGTTGTTGTTGTTGTTGTTGTTGTTGTTGTTGTTGGTGGTGGTGGTGGTGGTGGTGGTTGTTGTTGGTCGTTGTTGGTTGTTGTTGGTTGTTGTTGGTTGTTGTTGGTTGTTGTTGGTTGTTGTTGGTGGTTGTTGGTTGTTGTTTGTTGTTGTGTTTTGTTGTGTGTTGTTTTTTGTTGTTGTTTGTTGTTGTTTGTTGTCGTTTGTTGTTGCTTGTTGTTTGTTGTTGTTGTTTGTTGTTGTTTGTTGTTGGTTGTTGTTGGTTGTTGTTGTTTGTTGTTGTTTGTTGTTGTGTGTTGTTGTTTGTTGTTGTTTGTTGTTGTTTGTTGTT